TGCAGCAGAGCTGCACATTATCAAGGCTGTTAACAATGATACAGGATAGCTTTTTTGCATTTGTAATCACTTCTATAGGTGCTACAAGTTATGTGCGTCCATGCCATGCTTTTCTACTAGTGCTGGTCGTGCTTGACTTTACTGGAAAACAAGAAATCCCCATGCTAGGTCAGAGTTCTCCAGTTGTTCATCTTAGAGCTCCTGAAGCATTACCTTTGACATTCATTCTTCACATGGTTCATAGTCTGCTTTCCATATGGACAAAACAACCATAGTTTCAACTCACACACAAAATCTCACCATGAGGCAAGATGGTCCATCTGTGTTTCAGTGTTGTGGCTGCTAGTGATGAACTATGATGGTTACATTCTTGCACTAGTGTTATCCAACATGCTATCGTCTCTTCCAGATGTTTAATCTACTAACCACTTCAGTGAAGCATGGACCAGTTGGATGGTAGGCTTCCTCTCATACAAGTAGCAGTGATAGTGTTATATGAAGACAACCATAGCAAGCAGTTTTCGTTTTTGTAGTGTCTGTGTTCAAAAGCGATGAGTGTACAGCTAGTAGATGCAAATACACATTGTACTCTGTCCTGCAACTGCAATAATAACAGTCCAACTCCATGGATTCAGTGTCCAACAAAAACAATCGTAAGAGGGATAAGTTAACACTGGAATCTCCATTAAAGTAAGCTTTAGGAAAAGAATGTCTGATCACATTCCTCGTTCCATCCAAAGTGTGCTTCAATTTTCACAACTTTTTTAGCCACAGAACGTCGGTAGTATGATGTGGAACTAAGAAACTGTAAGATTCTCGCTTCATTCTGGGGCGAGGCATTCTTTCACTGCAGCTATTTTTACTGAGTTTGTTGAGACTTCACTTCTACCCACAATGTGACTGAGAAACTCCTCTTCCATTCACATAAGTGAACACTTTACTGGTTTCAGTTTCAAGCCTGCAAGTACCTATGATCTTTCATACATACTGGAATACTATTTTCAGGTTCTTGGATGCTGACAAAAATCATGTATCTCCCATTGCAATCCGTTGAGTGTAAGCCTTATCAGCCACTGGAAAGTAGCTTGTACATTACACAGACCGAATAGTAAGATTTGGAATGCATAGAGACTATTTCTTGTGCTAAACGTAGTCTTAGCCATAATTCTCTTATCCATCTCAACTTTCCAGTATCTAGATCCAAGGTGTAAAACTAACAGGAGCTTCCTAACGTGTCCAGATATTCATCTGTGCAAAGTAGAGGGAAGGCATCAAAGTGAATTATCACATTCAGCTGTCAGAAGTCTACCCAGAACCTTAGTGGACGTTTCTTCTACATGACAATCACTACTGAAGATGTCCAAGAACTTTCTGAAGGCTGTATAACTCCGTCCTGCAGCACCTGTGTATTTCAGTGCTTGCAACTTCTCTGGTGTTCCAAGGAAGTCAACACAGTTTGCTTTATTGGATGCACATCACTTGTGTATATATGGTGCTGAGTCACTACTGCTCAACCAAATCAGCCATTTGGTCCCACAAATTTGTTTTTGCTATGTGTGGTCCACACTGTCAGCACAATCATGAACCAATGCCTGCAGGTGTGATGGTGCCTTATATTTGCTCTCAGTTGAGGTGCAACAGACGCTACCCCAGCATCAACACTAGTACCAATTAGTTCCACTTTGCTTATTGTACCTATCACTATTCCAGTCTAGGTGGCTAGCTGATTGTCCATAATTATAAAGCAACACTGGGTCTTTATCGCTTACCAGGTATATATTTACCCACACTAATATTTCCTAGTTTGTTTTTGGACAGAAACAAGTTTGTTTTATGCATGGCTTATTAATGACATATTAAACTATGAAACACCTCGTGTGCACATACACATATATACTGTCCACTGTTCCTTGGTGGCCTTGGATTACTTTTATATGGAACATCAGCTTATCCACTGCACTGGCAAAACTGACTCTGCAGTATGTCCACCTTGAGGATGTCAACTTCTTATTACAGATTTAGACTAAACTGGATATTCTCTCTTTCTTGTAACATCTAATCTATTGACTTTTGCCAGGATGAAGTTGGTATTCAGTAGATATAGTGGTAGTCTCACTCTGATGGCTTGAAAGATTATGAGCGGCCCAAATTTTCATTACTCTTGTGTTTATTGTGAACTCAATCTTTTGCCCTTGCGACCTAATCAGCACATACCAAGCTCCAACCAGTCCTGATAGTTTGGTTGACTATTAAACTATTTGGTGCAAAGCTGTCCACTATGCTTTCCCAAGCTGTGGACAAGTCCTAGCTGGGCTCTGTCAGTTTTACAGGGCATCTGCCACAGTATATATTACTTGTTGCTAGTCGCCCAAGCCTTCCTGATCTGATGCCAATGTCCCACAATCCACGAGCAACGCAGATGCTTCTGTTTTCCTGTCCTGCATGATGTCCAGGTGGAGGTATCAGCCATGGCTGCAGTATGTCTCCCAGGGGCAGACCTTGCTGTAGCATGTACCCCATGGGTGGACCTGCATAGCCCTGCCAATTCAATAAAGACATATGGTTGTCTCGAATTTCTGTACTGTGGAGGTGGCTGGTTGTTACCTTCCAATTAGTTTAGTCTGCCACAGCGGAATCACCAAAGCTGCCAATGTAAGATTCTTCCTTTCCATGACTAGTTTAAAGTGAACACTTTAAAGCATGTTGTGATGGACACAGCTCCTGCAAATGATGGTGCCCCCACTCTTAGACACAGTCACATAAGCTCACTGGGAAGCTCCTCAATAAACTTCCCAGCCAAGATGGCCTCCTAGTCTGCAGAGGTCGTTGCTGGGTATGCTTTATTAGTACTAATCATCCACGTAGGAGGTCAATTCCTTGAAGTCGGGTTAATAAATCACCCGATTCTTCAGTGGGTCAAATTGGTGATGCAGCTCGTACATGGCAGTTTCTTAGTCATCTTGCCATTCCTTATCCAGGTGATTCATAGCAGTGAGGGCCACACTATCTAAGTTCAGGTCTAGGTATTGTATAGATTCAGATCTTCTCTTGATGTCACCTTGAACATTGGGGGTGTGTGATCAACTTCACCTTGCTCACAGGGCCATGTTTGCCAAGTCAAAGCATCTCTCTCTTTCACAATCCTAACATATGCTGGGAGGAGATGCCATTAATGACCTTGAACTCTTACACCCCAACAGGCAGTCAGTCCATGGTCCAGGACAATAGGGCAATGAGCTACTTACAGTGGGTCATTGTACAGACCCCAGTTGCTGCAAGCTAACATCGATGTAACAGGGAATATTTTCACCCATACCATGGATCATGGTCTTCATCTGTGGGTGACCATTGCTTCGCCTGCTAGAGAGAAAACTTTGACTGGCAGAAATCATCATCTGTCCACTATTTACCAGTGCTGGATAATTTAATTTACCAGTCTTACACTTATTATTTTTTTCTTTTGGGTCTCAACATTCTTATGGTAAGTGTCTATGGTAGTAAAAAAAATTCCATTCAATTTTCACGTTCTAATTTTTAATCATTGTTTTGTATTTACTATAGGAATTAGCTGAAAGTTGAATGCGTATAATTCAAAAATAAATATATTATTTGTCACTTCTGTTCATCATTAGACTATAATTAAATTTATAAAGCCAGATTATTGGGGATTTAATCAACCAGTAAATATATATATAAAGTTTCCACCAGGATTAGGCCATGATGAAATTCACCTACCCAGGCTACTTTAGTAAGTTGTTTCACATAATGATACTTTCAAATTCGATGACGAGGAACCCACTTTGAGACTAATAATGGCTGGAGACGGCTTGAATGGGTAATGAAGAAAAACTTTAATATAAGTTTAACATAACAGCAAATGTACAAGGTTTTGTCATCATCAGGTACTGAAGAAAAACATTATTATAAGTTTAACATAACAGCAAATGTACAAGGTTTTGTCATCATCAGTTAACTGATGATGACAAAACCTTGTACATTTGCT